TATTTATTTCTCATGAAAGAGGCCCAGTTGGAATCTGAGTATCTATAGTTCCACCATAATTTAATGGAATAAGCTTCATGAAGATCCTCCAAATCTCTGATTCCCAGCCCCCCTTCTGAGGTAGGTTTGCTGATGTCTTTCCACCCTTTCCAATGATATTTATGCTTCCCATCTCTTTGTCCCCATAAGAAGTTGCTCATCATCCTCTGTAGAGAGTTAATAATAGAAGTAGGGAGAGAGTGAACAGCTTGAATATGTAGAGGGATGGAAGATAAAACATGTTTTATCAAAATAAGCCTCCCCATAGGATTCAGGGCCTTGCTATACCAAGTGTCAATGTATTTCTGAAAGTGTCTCATCAAATCACCACATTCAGCTTTTCTGAGTATACCCTTACAAATAGGAGCACCTAGGTATTTGAAAGGTATCTTGCTACATCTCATTCCTAAAAGTTGCTCCAAAGTATAGATCCTGCTTTGTTTAATACTTTTTCCACAATAGAATCTGCTTTTCCCAAGGTTTATCTCTTGACCTGATGCATTCATATAACTCTTTAGAAGAGTATTGACCTTCAGCAGATTCCTTGTATCACCATTGCAAAAAATTATGATGTCATCTGCATAAGCCAAGTGACTTATAAGATAATCCCTCCCTGTATTGTAGTTGACAATCTTGGATGAGGCCATATTTTGTTTAAACATCCTGGAAAGTCCTTCCCCTGCTATAATGAAAAGCAATGGAGATAGAGGATCCCTCTGTTTCACCCCCCTTTTCATAGTGAAAAAACCCTGAGGACTCCCATTGACCATAACAGAGATGAATGTGCTTCTCAAATTGGCTAAGAGAAGTTTTTGATTGTGATCACTGAAACCTAGTTTATCCAACACGCCTAGAATGTAATGCCATTCCATATTATCAAAAGCCTTAGCCATATCAAGCTTTATGATGACATTTCCCCTCTGATCTTAGCATCAATTTTGTGAACCATTTCTTCAACTAGGAGTATCTGCTCATCTATCCCCATACCTTTTTGAAAGCCAGTTTGCTCTTTTGAAATAATCTTGGGTAAAATCATCTGAAGCCTGTCTGCAAGGATTCTAGTATTAATCTTACTCATGAATGTAGATAATGATATAGGTCTGTAGTCTCCAAACCTTTTAGGACTGTCATTTATATATATATATATATATATATATATATATATATATATATATGGATTCTCTCTCTAAAACTCCGGTAGCTAGCTCCGGTTGTGCTCCGGCAACTTCAAAGCTCTTCTCCAATTTATTTAAACAACAGCCAACGGCGGTCAATGCTCCTCCGTTGAAGCCTATGTTCAAAGGCTGCCCTTCAGTCTCTTTCTCAAAAAAATATGTAGATAACCTGTCCCAAAATTTCTGATATGCACTGGTTGGAAGATTTCGGCGAAGGCCTCCCATGTCCGTCATCAAAACATTCCTTGCAAGACTTGGATTTGGGGGAGGATTCACAGTGGCTGAGCTAACCACGCACAGTGTGCTCATCAATTTTGAGCTGGACCAGGATTATCAACGCCTATTTTATCGCCAATCCTGGACCCTAGGAGCTGAGACAATGGTTGTTGTTGGAACACGGGTTTACGCCTCCGTCGTACTAAACTGTGTTCGTCTTTATGACAGGTTTTGATAATGCCAAACCGCCGCAACATATCGAAGCTAAAGTGAGCAAAACTAAGGCGAAGGAACATGGCATGATGACTTGAGAACCAAGAACCCAGAATCAAGAACGAAGAACTAGAATTGTATTGAGTCGGTCTTAATGTGATCAAGACCGGCACAAAATTCCAAATCTTGGCTCTCTAGGCTCAATTCATAAAAATCTCTTTTACATTTTCAAAAATATTTTTCTTAAGTTTTAAACTTGG